ATGCCAGAACGGAAAACAGCTCTACCGGGTGCTCTTCCTCCTTTCCTTCCTTCCTTCCTTCCTTCCTTCCTTCCTTCCTTCCTTCCTTCCTTCCTTCCTTCCTCCCTCCCTCCCTCCCTCCCTCCCTCCCTCCCTCCCTCTCTTCCTTCTTTTTCTTTTTTGGTTTTCAAGACAGGGTTTCTCTGTGTAGCCCTGGCTGTCCTAGAACTCTCTCTCTGAAGACCAGGCTGGCCTCGAACTCACAGAGATCCACCTGCCTCGGCCTCCCGAGTGCTGGGATTAAAGGCGTGCACCACCACCGCCCCCACACCTGGTGCTTTTCAAACTTCATGTATCACCTGTGTCCTCAGAGACTGTTTTCAGCCAGACTGACTCGGAAGGCCAGGGTGGGGGCCGAGCTTCTGACAGTCCCAGCCCTGTGCCCAGCGTCTCTACTCTCAACAGAAGGTCACGGGCTTGTGCTTTACAGATGTGCTAGCGTTTATAATCACGGAGGCCTCAAAGAGTACCGGTGAGCCAGCTCCTCCCGAGAACTTCTGATTCTGTCTAATTGGGGGTTAGAAATCATTTTTAGAAGTAGTCCATGATATGTAACAGGGATGTCTGACTACAATTCCTAACGATGCTAATGGTTCCTTAGAAACATATGGCAAGGTCAGCTGTTTCCAAGTCATCAAAGTCGGATCAATGATTCATTCATGTCATCCATTTGCTTAATCAGTTTTCCTTTTTCTTTTTTTTTCTTTCTGTGTGTGTGGGGGAGTGGGGGGGTGGGGTGTGTGTGTGAGAGTTCCTCTGTGTAGCCCTGGCTGGCCTGGAACTTACTCTGTAGACCAGGCTGGCCTTGAACTCACATAGATCCACCTGCCTCCGGGACTAAAAGCGTACACCACCACTCCCGGCCTCAATTTTCAACTGCAATGGTTGAACATTCTAGTTTAGAGAAATTGTCTATGAACCCTCCATTTTTCAAAAAGTTCTTCGTACCCTCTAGAAACCTCTGCTTTCTGCTCGATTTTTCCAAGGTTACTATGCAATGAAATGAAACTCTGAATAGCATCCTTCCCACAAATTTCACACTCAGCAACTTCTTTGGGGAGCAGACAATGGCAACAGAGAACCAAATTAAATAGTCTAGACAAGAAAAAGAAATAAAGTCTATTTCCAGTTCTGTTTCATTAGAGGTGACTTGTTAGTCAGATGAGATGTTAAAATTATCCAGAATAAAAAGAAGGGCAAGTCATTTAAGCAACCGATCTCTGTCCTTTAGCCTTTGTGAAGGAAGGACACCTGCAGTGAGATTCTGGGTGGTCACCAAAGGGACAGAGACGCAGTCCTTTGCCTCTAGCGCTTTGGGGAAGGTAGACACGCAGTTTCTGTCTTGTTGGGAACATCTTATGAGTGTCTCCTCCTCACGTACAGGAAGCTTTCATAGGCTACATTCTGGTGGAACTGCTGGCCCACAAGGGACATCAGTACTGTGCAAGACCGCCAGCCAAATGGGACAGGCTAGGAACTAGAAGCGATGCCCTTGCCGTGGGCATTTGACAGCACACGCACGCCTCTCCATCTCTCCTCTGGACAGCTGTCGGAGGAATCAGAATCGCACAACCAAGTCTTGCCGGCAGTGGTGGCGCACACCTTTAATCCCAGTACTCGGGAGGCAAAGGTGGGCAGATCTCTGTGGGTTCGAGGCCAGCCTGGTCTATGGAGTGAGCTCCAATACAGCTAGGGCTACACAGAGAAACCCTGTCTCAAAAAGCAAAACAACAACAAAAAAAGCAGAAACAAACAAACAAACAAAACAAAACAAAAACAAAAAAACGAAAGCCCTAAACCCTAAATCTTCACAAAAGCAATGAATAGGTTTTCAAAACTGACCAGTTTTCCAAACTATAACCTAAGCAAAAGCTTGGAGCAGGGCTTCCTCCCCTAAGAGTTTTGCGGCCCTTTGGATTCATCTGGGGACTACCCTGCTCCCCCAGCTCGGTGCCTTGGCTGCAGGCATGAGGGCAGAGGCTTGCCCTGGACTGCTGGTACCAAACATGGAGCTGCTTCTCGAGAAATGACGGTCCTGTCCCTGGACCCGGAAAGCAGATGTGTGCTCAAGAGCCACCTGCCTTGGAGCTTCCAAGGGTCGGGGCCACTTCCCCGTGGTGTTGGTGGAAAACACTTGAAGCAGACTGTAATAAACTTTAAACTGTCATCACCTGTGGCACGGATAACATGGGGCAATTAGTTGACTAAAAAGCCGAGCAATGAAGAGGTCAGAGGGGGTTGGGGATTTAGCTCAGTGGTAGAGCGCACATGGGGCCCTGGTCCTCAGCTCCAAAAAAAAAAAAAAAAAAAAAAAGAGGTCAAAGAAAGACATACCTCAAGGAAGAATTCGCCAAACACACCCCCATACCCCCATACCCGCCACCCCCGACCCCCCACCCCCTTCCTGGGAACCTAGAAGTGCTGGTGCCTGCTGAGAGCTGAACACGTGCTCAGAAAAGGCCTGGGTAGCTCCTCCCCTCCCGCAAGCGCACGCCTA